CTCCTTGTCTCTACATACTTCATCTTTTTGTGGGTAGGAAAAGAAAATATAGTTGGCAGCATTTCAATAGAGCCATTTGTGCGGCATAAGCTTCATCTACCTATTTGAAAGAATATTATGCGGTTACAGCAGATAGGCGTCACGCAATAAGTTAGCCTAATAAACACCAGCTGCCACCTGCGATGCAAATTCGGTCACAAAGTTCATGCGGTCACAAGTAATAATCAAAGAACTGTCGAAAGCGAGTTCTGTCTCAGAAACAGGTTATTACCTACTTTCTGCTACACACCCTCCAGACTCGTGGAATGAAGGGAAAATTAGCGCATGGTGATTTTGAGCAATCCTCCAACAAGGTTTCGTCACGATTGATGGTTTTGTGGTCCAGCCTGGCAAAGTTTAGCTAGTTCTGATGTGGTTGCGGGTATCCTCGGTGACAGGCAGAAGAATGGGTTTTGCGTTGTGACAATGGTTCCATTGAACCTCCTAAAAGCGCTTTGTTTTCCCATACTTAAAAGAGGCTGAGTATATTGGAGTACACGAATAACCGAGTTCGTTGGTGCAGCAGTCTTAATGCAAATCACGTGTATCCATTGGGGGGGGGCGCCCTCGCAGCAGTGCCAAACAGTGCTTTCAACGTGGGAGATTCTGTTATCGTCTGAGTTTAAAAAAAATATTGAGTCGAGTCTTTGGCCATATCCGTCGAAACACTGACTCCTGTCTATTGTCAGCCAAAGCCGAGTACTTTGACTTGCAACCAGTAGTTGCTTGACCATCGTTTCAGAAAGAATTTAGAAAATGCGCTCAAACCTTTGCAATCGCGACTTCTCGAGCGGTTGTCTCTGATGCCTGAACTCATACGTTTCATGAACTCATCTTCTCAATTCAGCTCGATCCAAATCGTATTGATTAACTTTACTAAAATATATATGCGGTGTAAAACTTTTGAAGACTGTCATATTCAAGAACCTCCAACATTGCCACGAAAAACCATTTAACCATTTTCAACGTTGTCACTGGTAAATCGACTGTAAGTCAAGGTTCAACTGGCAAATCCTTCGCCAGCTCCATGTGTTTCTATGTCGTTCACATCGAATGAAGGCTCGTTGCTTGAAACGTACATTTCTCATCAATTTCTTCAATGCGCAGCCAGCCACTCGTTGAATATACAGGTCAAACGCAGAGGTGACATCTGTGACGTCGCAGCGGCAACCGGCTTCAGATGGCACCGGCTTGAATTCTTCCACGCATACCATAGGTCGACGAACCTTCGTGACATTCTGTCCCGCATTTTTGTAACGGTCACGTACGTCTCCTCCAAAAGATAATAACTCGACGATCATTCGTCAGCCGTCACATCGCACCGGGAAGCCGCCACCATGCTCGGCTTATTTGCGGCCAAGGAACCGACGAAAATGAAGACG